AACTGGTAAAAAAATCGATTTTTCAAATAAAAATTAAGGCAAAATAGTTACTAATACTTGGTAATCTTAGTTACTATATGTCAATAATTGGTATAACCAATATACTTTTGCATTTAACTCTTATAATTTTTCATTCGGGCTTATTTAGGTTTCTCTCATCTACAAAATTACTATAATATCTCTATAGTAATAAGCTGATAAGTAATTGCAAGACTGTTGCCAGAATCTTGCGCAAGACTAAGACTGAGTTTACAAGACCATGGACTCGTCTCGGTCTCGCATTGGGGCAACACTAATAGGGACAAATACATCGTTTCCTACATTTTTTTTATAATTTATAAATTATTAGTTCATAGTACCAAACGTTTTATCAAAATAGAAAAATTGATAATATTGCAATTGAAAAAAAAAATGAATGTTTTTCATATAACAATACAAAACAGTAGCCTTTTTTTCTTTTCATATAGCTTTCACATATAGCATTCTTATAGCTCCTTATATGAAATTTAAGTACTGTTGTTAAATAAGATATTTGAGAAGTCTAGGAATGTAAAATAAGTTTAAGGATAAATTGTCTGATTTAAGATTGCATATAGACATTTCGTAGTAAAAAAAAGAAGACTTCTCAAGGTTGTGCTTTATTTCTTACGTGCTTATGATACAAAAAATGTTTTTGACTTCAATTTAATGTTATAAAACTTTTACACCTTTGATCGATTCGCGAGGCCGTAATGGACCCCTCATTATCCGGTTCGGAGCGGTGTGGGTTCGAATTCCACCGAGGTCATTTAATACTTATTTCGTGGTAATTCTGCAGAATGAACCTTGACACTCCCACTATTATTATTTAAGGACGACAACCTCCAAGTAGCCGTTAGCGATTAGGGAAAAAACAAAAAAGAAAAGATAAAAAAGCACCATCTGTTGGCCAAAATAATTCTCCCGACCAGTCGATCGGGTCATTTTTCTTTAAGTATCGCCAATTACTTTTTTTGTCACTTATGGAAGTGGAAACTTCTTTAGGCGCGTTTTGCACTTTTTTTGTGGAAGCCGTCAGATCTGCGGAGTGTAACGCTCGGGTAAAGTCGCCTGAAGTTAACTAATTGAGAACTGTTTTTGTATATGGATTAAAATATCTTAAAAACTAAAAATCAGGCCTTTATATTATTAGTGATGGAAATGTTCATCGTTTCATTCTCTTTGTAATCAGCTTTATTGAAAATTGAATTTTTACGTGACACCGTATTAGAGAGGCTAGCTAAAAGGAAATTTCTTAAAATAAAATAATATTCTTTCGTCATAAATGAAGAACATCAAAATTATGACGAAGAAAAGGATATTCCACAGAAAAGAATATTCCCGAGGGCATCACATGAATTATTGCAACCAATGAGAACCTTTTGGCCTCCTGAAGATTAATATTGTTAAATATTAAGAATAATTGTTATTCTCAAAATTAATCTATTTTGTGTTTATCTATTGTTTAATATTAATTTTCTATAAAAAAATTTTTTATTATGATTTCTAAATAATAACTGTTACTTTATTAAAAGTAACTATTACTAAAAGTGACTGGCGATACTTAAGTAAGAAGACCCAGTCAATCGAAAGATCCTTTTTCCGATATTCGAGAGCGATGGCTATTGTTGTTGTGGGAATCAAATGAAAGGGAATTTCACGAAGAAGTGACGGATCCCGATTTCGATTCATTGGTTGATAAATGCATTCAACAACTTTAATAAACGCCATTAAAAAAAAAAAATGGAGATTGATCATCTGATGATTTTTTCAGACGAAATATTTTTTTTTTCGATTTCTTGCAGATAAAACAAAACACCATTTCCAGTAATAATAAAATTAATTCAACAGTAAAAAAAATGTTTTTGTGAAATTGCACTTGTATAGAATTATTTGTGTCTGGTTTGAAGTAACCATAGATAAGGCAATACTTAAGCGTTGATTAAAGGTTAAATAGTGGCCTCTTAACTTGTTAGCTAACTCTAATTACTTGACCAGCCGTTGAGGCTAATCATGATTGGTGCAACGAAAATTTCGTTAATCGTTGATAAACTAATCAATGTTATGGTCAGTGGCATGAAATTATTAACATCCGGCTGAAACTTCGTAAATAGCTTCATCTCATGTCAAAATTTAATTTAAGAAAATTCTCGGAATGGGGTAGTTTTCAAACTGGAGGTAGACAAACTTTGTCTATTCAAGTAGGTACTAAAAACTCGTAAATAGCCATTTTCTTTCCACTTAAATCATAAGATAACTTGAGAACAAAAAGTTGGCCTTCAAAAAATGTTGAGCCGTTTGGCGTGACCTACACCCCCAAATTGTCTAAATAACGAGGTTATATAAGCCAAACGGGCCAGTATTTTTGTAAGCCACTTTTTTTAGCGATGTCACGATCAAATTATCTTACCACCTAAGAGGAAAGCAAATGGATATTAACGAGTTTTATTACCTAATTAAATAGGCAAAGTTTGCCGAATTCCAAATTGAAAACGCCCCAATTTCAAGAATTTTCGTAAATAAAATATCTGTGAGTTACGATGAGAAGCTATTTACGAAGTTTCAGACGGATGTTAATAATTCAATAAAAAGGTGTCTGTGCCACGGACTATTAGCATAGGCGGATCTAGGAGGATGGGAGTGCTTACGGGTTGAAACCCCCCTCCCCTCCCAAAGTGGTAATATGTAAGCGTGGTTTATGGTAAAAATATATTAAAAAATTATCTCTTAAAGTATTATTGTTTGTATAATTACATTTAATAGGACCTCAAGAATAACTTAAACATTATTTTATATAGGTAGTTATTATCTTTTTTTTCCAAAATAATTATCGTTATATATATGAAAAAAAAGCTCTCGGACTGAGGCTCTCTCTCCAAAATTAAATCCTGGATCCGCTAGTAAATGTTAGTAAAATTAAACTTAACAACGGTCAGTTCAACCGGTCATAAGTGTGGGAACAATAAACCGAAAATCAAGTGTACCAAACAAATTTGTCTTGAGCGAGTCCAATAATGGATTAGTATAGATCAGGTTTAGCTGTGGGAGAAGCTAATTACTTATTAAGTATATTGTTATTTTAAATTATATTGTTAAATTAAATAGACTATTCTCATAATCTTATATTGTAAATAAATACGTTTCACTTATGTCGTTCATACACTTGAGTCAACTAGTAATAATGCACAGGTGCGTATATTTATGTATTTATTTATACACTTATAGGTGTAAATACACATATTTTATTTATATATGTTTCAATGCGTATGTATGTTGATCAATCAAGTAATGACCACTCAAAGGATTACAGGTCAATGACCTCTCTTATCATTTTTTCTTCTGAGTATTGATAAGAATAATTACATTTCGTATGAGGGGCATGACTGTTATTAATTAATTATAACCATAACAGTTAAGTGAACTGACCCAATTATTTAAAATACAACACTGGGCGAATACAACATTATTTTCAAATTATTATTTTCTATATAATATAAGCTGTTTATAAATTCTGTTTGTACGTATTGGGTAAAAGTTACATACCGTATTTATAATTTTTTTTTTAAAATATCATATCTGGAAAGAACCAATATGAGGTGTTTTTTTTCACTTAATTTGTAAAAAATCTCTAAATGTTTTTCACTTAAATTAAAATAAATTTACTTTACATATAGGTATTATTTAGTTTAATAAGGAAAAAAAACCTGTAAAGTAGGAACCGTATAGCAATATTTGTTACAAAATTACCTATATTTAAATTTAAAATTAAAAATATCTGAAGGTTAAGTTAAATCATTTAACCTCCAGACAAATGTTAATTGGGCTTTGAAAGTAAAGCTATACTAGCCAAATTTATTTGGATAACAAATTAATAAAGATGTGTTATATTTTAAATAATGATTAATATATTGGTTACTACTCGAAAAATAAACTAATTGGAGTTATTTCATTCATTATTATATAGAAAATATTTATTTAATATATTTTATATAATATTAAGTTTTTCGAAACTGAAGTTCACCACTGGGTTATCGTAAGCAAAGGTTTTAAAAACGCTGTAAATATAAAGATCGCTCGTGAATGCGTAACCTTAAAATCGGCAGCGGTTTCATAAAAAGCGCCTCCAATTATATAATACTGGATGTATAAATCCATGAACTTCAAAGTTACAATAAAGGTATATGCGAAATCTTGAAGTTCTCAGTATTTTCGTAAAAAGCTCCTTCGGTAACCCGACTATGAACCTCAAAATTAAAGAAAGCCGATAAGCAATTGGTCATTTTAAACCATGATGAATATATAAGTTGGTTGTAAAGGGTTAAAAATGTAATTCTTCATTCTAAAATATTGTGAACATCTTTTTCAATTATCAGAGTGGCTTTAGAAATTCTGAAAGACTTATAAAAAAGAAAGTCCACCCGTGTAAAAAAATCATTCCAGTTAAATGAGTTTGTTATGAATGAAAAAATCCAAACTACGAAGCCACACAAGTCCCCAACATACTGGACTGAAATTTTATTTGAGAACCTTAGAACCATTAGAAGTTTCGTTTGTTTTGTATGTAGAATGTTTACCTTATATTTTCTTTACATTATTTCTTTTTTTCGATTGATTTTATTTTGGCCAGATGTAATCTTTTTATTTTGTTCTATTTTGTTATTCTCAAGGGACTGTGTCCCAGAATAAAATTATTTTTCTATTCTATTCTATTCTAACCATTAACTTTAATAGAGGATCCTTTTAAATTGTATGTCTAATTTTTTCCAAGTCACATACACGAGTACTTTGAAAGATACCGATTAATGGTTAGACTTAGTAACCATTATGATTATTCCCGCCTACACCCCCTGGACCGGGAAAACCTCTTATAGCCTTTAAGGCGAGGAAAGGGAGGGACTCCCACCCCCAAAAAAAACAAAAAACATTATAATGGTTATTTTTATTTATTTAATAAATAGTGGTATAAATCGATTGTAACCTACCTGTAGCCCGCTAAGACATTGAGGAGGGTACTCTTTCCCGCACCGGAAGGCCCAAGAATTGCTGTCAGCTCTCCGGACTTGAAGTAGCCACTAACGTTCCTCAGAATCAGCTTGTTACCTGATGCAAACAATAAAAGGTTGCTGAATACAATCAATAAAGTTACTGAAGTATTACAATTATATACTATATGATAACATAGTTCGTTGCCTTTCAATGGCGATCGAAGTATAATTATAGGATTCCTTAAAAAAAAAAAAAAAAATATATATATATATATATATATATATATATATATATATATATATATATATATATATGTTTCAAGGCAAATTGTGCAAGAAGTGATCGGGCCAGGATCTCGCTCAACCACCAGGTTTTCCTCCTGAATTACTTATTTAATTAAGAGTGCCAACTTTTTAGAGGCTGGGTGTGCCCGCTCCAAGAGGGTCACACCAATTACTTGACATCAGCAGGATTCGAAGACGGGACCTTGAGTTTAGCAGCCCAGTACCCAACTCGCTTTTATTCAAGATCTCAATTAATAAAGAAATAAAAAATCTTTATTTTAGGGCACAATGTCCCTTCAGAAATTACATTATAGAATATTTGAATGTTTAAATTCGTCCGAACAACAATTTTGATGGTTTAATTTTTTTTAAACTTTTATTATAATATTTACAACTGTATTAGTATAAATACATCAAGTAAATGTGTACAGAGGAATATAATCACATGAAACACGCTTGTTGAGAAACTACCCATTGGTAGTACTCTAATAATATGTCTACATGAGGAGATCACGAGGCCATCTTCTTTTCAGACGTCTCGGAGGGTTATCAGGAATCCAAGAGGAAGCAAGGTTAGAAACAAGTGGATTCGGATGGTTATGAAGTTAATTATGGAAGGGTAAGTATCTGGAATGGGCCAAATCGGAAACATATGGAACATTGAGATCTTTATGGATTATTTTATTTCTGACAAAGTAAGGAGTATTGAGGATTTTGAATTGTAAAGATTGGAAACGAGAGGAATTTAATGGTTTAGTGGGGCCCCATAGCTCAACCTCATAAGTCCAAATAGGTCTTATTATAGTCACGTATATGAGTCGTTTGTAATTAATTGCAAGTTTAGAGCGCTTGTTCAGTAAGTGCTGGAGTAAGCGGAAACGTTGAACAGTTTCTTGTCGGTTCAGTCTTGTATGAGGATTCAAAGTGGGACGTTTGTCCAGCTGGAGTCCTAGGTATCAGATTTGTTCTACAGGGATAAGTGGGGTGTTATTAAAGGATATTGTAGAACAGTCATTGGTTTACGACGAAGGGTAAAGGTGATTTGATGGGATTTATTGGAATTATACGGTTTTAATTAAATTGTTTACAATTAAAATAAGTTTTTTTTTCTTCTTCTTCCTTGCCTTTTTGGCTATACAGGTGTTTTCCCAGGCCAGGGAAGAGGGGGAGGGAAATTAATTACATTGTTAAAGTTTAACATCAATGTAGTTTAATTCTTTTTCCAAATAAAATAAACAATCTGAAAATTTAATTTTTATTTCATCCGAAAATTCAAATTTTTTATATGATTTTTGTTCAATACCTTATTTTTAAAGCTAACCTAATAAAAAAATAATTACATTAAAATGAATGATAATTATATTTTACAGATAGTTAAGGAAGGACGTACCCAACTCGCAACGTTTCTATTTTATTTTATCTTTTCCACACAATTGGAATCAGACTACAGAGGTTTTATCTATCTATTTGAAGTTAGGTTTTTCACTTCATAGTAATCAACCCTAGTTCTGTAAATATGTCGATTAGACGGTATCTGGATGATGGCACCCGTACGAAGTGTAGAAACCACGATAAACTGAATTCCAAGAGAAAATAATACCGCTATTCTTTTATTTTAAAACAATAATGTCACTAGAAATATTTTTTAATATTTAAAAATCATTGATAGCTTACTAAAATAAATTATAATATAAAAATAAATATATTTTTCGGACCACTTTCCATTATTCATTATTTCGTCTAAGCGGCAATAACCTTTAAGATTTACAATGAACTAATTTCATTTTTCTTTATTAATCCCATTCCTCGCCATTCATGTATAGAAACCACGATAAATTCTAAGAGAAAAAAATACCGTTACTCTTTTATTTTAAAACATAGTTCTAGAGGTACAACCAAACGCTCTGGACCAAAGTGAAAAGATCGATATTCATTCCGTGGCCATGAAATAAATCTCAACTCGCCTGTGCCGGATTCGAACTGGCACAGCTAGCAACGCTTTAACATACCCTCAGCCACCAGATCTTGTATATTTAGAAGACTTTTAGCTTCACCTAAATTATTCTTCCGTTTCCATTTTGATTTGGGACAAAGATGCGTTTTCGGACTTTCAGCTATTGCGTCTATACGATGGGTTGGACTGATTCGGAGAGAAATCAGATTAACAACACGAGGAATTAAGACATTTCATTGAAATTCTGCCAAGAGACGTGCGAAAGTCTCTAGTTTCTCATCTAGGGTAGTCGCGAAGGAATTCTCGCACTGGGAACTACTGAGCGAAAGGTTGTACAACTACTCATGTGATCAGTAATGTCGCCGTTGAAAATCTACTTCAAAAAATATTATAATTCCTTTAAACACCAACAAATAAAAAACTGTCTCGATTAATTTTATTTTAGTTTTCGTATTCTGAGATCTACAATACCTTCATAGAAGATTTCTAATTTAAAAACAATAGTGTCAATCAGAGTTGGGCAAAAATTAACTGTAGCTAACAGCTAAATTAGCTTTTAGCGGGAAGATAATTCTCCAACTAAATTAGCTTTTAGCGGGACCAATAAGCTAATTAACCAAGAAGTTAATTATTAGATTTTCTTATAGCTAACATCTAATTAGCTTTATCTGTAACTTCAACTAAAAGCTAACAGCTAACTCTTCGGATTTAATTGATCTTAGAGTCGACTATGATGTTTTCGAGGGCCCTTTTTATGAAAATACCGTCGGATTTTAGATAAAGCCCCCCGGGCGCCGACTTTTTGTAACTTTAAGAATTTAATCGATATTAAAGTCGACTATTATGTTTTGAGGGGCGCATTTTATGAAAATTATGGATTTTAGACAGTGCCCCCGGGCACCGAGTTTATGTAACTTTTAGGATTTAATCGATATCAGGGTCGACTATTGGGTTTTGGGGGACGCTTTTAATGAAAATAATGTCGGATTTTAGATAGTACCCCGGGGCACCGACTTCTTGTAACAATGTAATTCTTTTACAAGATTAATGTAATAACAACAAAAAATCAGAAATAAATATTTTTTACTTAAGCTAAAAAAAAATTCTCATGAAAACTGCCACCGCTTAAATTCTATCTCTTGGTTCATGTGCCCCTTATATGATTGAGTATACTTGATGATTTATTTTATTTTGACATCCATTCCTAATTTCATAAGCATAATGAAATAAATTTTTAACAAGGCAAGATGAAAATAGAGATCTAGAAAAAAAATACATTTCTGATATATTTTTTAAGAAACACAAAAATAGTTGATATACCGTATTCATAAGCTTTCTATAATGCAGCCCATTTTATATTCTATGCAACGTTACAAAAGCCCAATTATTTCATAGCGGTACAGATTAAAATACAAAGAAATTTAAAGTAGGCTGTAGATTTACATAGAAAACGTTTGTATTCATATGCATGGGTATAAAAAACAATACTCCATATCCCTCATTATAAGTTGCAAGATCCGAACAATATTTATGCCCTATGAATAAACATTTCAATCCTGACCGAGGTAAGAGATTTGTGTTCGAACAATTAAATAGAAATAATATGGGTCAGGTGTTGAAACACTCATCAATACCTTAATATGAATTTTTGAGTATGAAGTAATTGGCTCAAAAAAATTCAAACTTTTTTATTTGACTTTTTGAGTCAGTGAGCCTAAAAAGTCAGTGTTCCTTTTTTGCCCCACATTCTCGAAAACTGATGAACCGTTTTTAATAAGTTATAATATCTTTAAGTATGACTCATTTGTTCAACATATTTCGTTCTATTGCGTACATTTCATACTACTAAATAAGCCTTATAACTCGAAGAAATGTGTTATAGTTAGTTGGAAGTTGTCAGGAACTCTAGGAATTTCAACCTTTCATAGTAGAATTGTAGGCAATAAAAGCTTGCCATTACTTACACAGATCAAGGACTTCAGTCAGTCAAATTACATCTGATCCGTCTTGCTGACTGAATTTTATTATCGATTGGCAACGCCTTCCACTTTTATTTTAAGTGAAAACTTCTGTAGGCGCGTTTTGCACTTTTTTTTTGTGAAGAGTGAATTAGATTGAGCCGTCAGATCTCTAATGTGTAACGCTCGGATAAAGTCGGCTGGAGTAGACTAATTGAAGACTTTTTGCATATGGATTAAACTAAATTAAACGATTTTGCATGTATCTCTGAAACTAAAAATCGCATACAGTAAGATAGGGATTGTTCAACATTTCATCCTCTCTGTAATGGGCTATTATTTAAAATTGTATTTTAACAAGATGTCGTGTTAGGGAGGCGAAAAGGAAAAAAAATAGTGTCGAAAACCAAATAATAACGAGTTTTATTGAAGATATGGATTAAAATATCTCAGAAACTAATAATCGGACCCGCATGTTTTAAGCGAGAGAATTGTTCAGCATTTCATCCTCTTTATAATGGGATATTGTTTTTAATTTATATTTCATATTATTAATCTCGTCTTGTTTATATTTTTACTTTTAGCGTGTGGTCTAAAAGCTGACAATTTAGTTTTTTTATTTTAGTTTTTGAGTCAGTGAGTCTAAAAAAGTGTTCCTTTGTTGTCCTAAATTTTCGTAATATGATGAATTGCATTCTAATTTTTAATAAATAAAGGAAGTAATACTTTACGCAGTTGTGTTTGTACAAATATTTAGGAATTGGAAAATCTACATTTTGAGCTAAAGCTTACTGATTTCTGATAATGAAAACTTTTAGCATCTCACTCCATGATCTCAATGCTGCTTCCAACTCTCATAGTGGAGTGTCACTCTTATTCTTATTTTTCTTTGTATTCCTTGGATATGCCCAATCTCAT